CTCCGAGTCCAGCTCTCCGCGCTCACCGGGGTCCAGGCGAGCCCCGAGCGCCTTGGACCAATCCAAAGCGATTATGCAAGACGGCGGACCAATCAGCTCCGCCAGCTCATGAATATTCATAGCCTTGGCTGAGTCAAAGCTTTTAGGCGAGTTTGTGTAGATCTACAGCATCATGCTTAGACTTTTCAAAGAGACAAACTCCATTTTCTTATGAATGGAAAGTGAAAAACCCTGTTCCGCTTAAATTGGGTTCTTTCCTGTCCTGAGAAACACAACAGACCCCAAAAAGGCAAGCTGAAGAGAGAACACACACACAGACCAAGCGACAAGAAATGACCATGACTACCATGCCAGAGAGTCTAAATAGCCCCGTCTCAGGGAAGGCTGTCTTTATGGAGTTTGGGCCACCCAGCCAGCAAATGTCTCCTTCTCCCATGTCCCACGGACACTATTCCATGCACTGTTTACACTCAGCGGGCCACTCTCAGCCTGACAGCTCGTACAGCACAGCTTCGTCCTTCTCCCGACCGCTGGGCTACCCCTATGTGAACTCGGTCAGCAGCCACTCGACTAACCCCTACATCAGTTCAGTGCAGTCCTACCCCAACAGCTCCAGCCTGGCTCAGACCCGGTTAGAGGAGACAGGTAGGTGCACTCGGCTTTGGGGAGGGGTGGGGGAGGGGAGGGAAGGGAAGGCAAGGAGGGAGGGAGGGTGCTTGTATCAAAAAAAAAAAAAAAAAAATCTGCCGGGGGGGCAAAAATTAAATTAAATTGCAAAAATATTAGTCAGGAGAGGCTGAAGATCACAGGGGATCAGCACACAGAGCACACAATGGCCGGCTGGAAGAGAAATCAACCCAGATGTGCACGTATTAGTCTTCGTAATTATTTATTGCGTAGTGCTATAAACAATGTATGCAATTAAGGGTAATTAAACCTAAACTGCAGCCTGTAAAAATAGCAAACTTTCTCTGGGAAGAAGCCTGGGCTGCCATAATCGCCCGGAGCCTTTGTTAGCGTTACTCGAGCTTCACTTTTCTTCCTTCTCATTATTGTTATTGTTGATGTTGCTGCTGTTATTATTACTGTTGCTGCTACTATTACTGTTGCTGCTATTATTACTACTGCTGCTATTATTATTATTTATTGTGCATCGTTTGTGGTTGTAGGGGCCGAATCGGAGAAAAGCACTGTGGTAGAAGGAGGGGAAGTTCGCTTTAATGGGAAAGGGAAAAAAATCCGCAAACCCAGGACTATTTATTCCAGTTTGCAGCTGCAGGCTTTGAACAGGAGGTTCCAGCAAACTCAGTACCTGGCTCTCCCAGAAAGAGCCGAGCTCGCAGCCTCTCTGGGACTCACCCAGACCCAGGTACGGCTCCGACTGCGCCGGCCCCTCGCCTTTCCCCCGTCCTCTGCCTTCCCTCTCCCTCTGCGCACCGCGTTTCCCCGCGGC